GTCCTCTCTAACCCAGCTCCAGACTTTGGAGCTATTATGCCCATGACCACCTTGCAGCACTCTCAGCCTGGCCGTAGGAGGGGTGGGAAGGAGCTTGGAGCAATGAAGTGGTCAGACCTGTCTTCTCCAGACCTACCCCATCCCTGTGGGCTCCACTGTAGGAAAAGAGACCTTCTGGACAGTCTCCTACCTGCTGAGAGATCCAGTAATTAGAAGGAAAATTCTGCATATGTAAATTTTGGGGTAAGTCAAAAAGCTGACTCAATCCCACATGCTGCTGGGGTGGGGCTGGGGTAGCAGGAGGAGGGGGTAGGGCCCTGCCTGTTTTCAGTTACATTTCACAGTCCTATGAAAACTGGCAAAGCCAGGCCTCTGGTGTCCTTTGGGAAAAAGAATGTGCTCTGAAGAACTGGAGTCTTCCAGAAGTCTGCCTCAGGGAAGATGAGAAACAGACCAACATACACTAACGAACGCAGACGCCCCTCCCTCCCTTCAACCTTCCAAGACAGAGGGGACCTGTGTGGTGGCTGTAGGCAGGCATCGCTCTGACCTTTCCATGCACGGGATGTAACACAGTGGGAAGGTTGGAGCGAGCAGCCCCGGAGGAGCTGCAGAGAGGGTCACCAGGTGTAAGACCTGTGAGATGGTGGGGTTGTTGGTTTTCTCTTTCATGGGCTTGAGCTCTTGAAGAAAGCTGAGAGCTCTGCTCCAGAGAAGAGGTGGTAGGGGAATGGAGCCCAGAAAGCCAAAGCCCCCAGTTCTATCTGCAGGACCCATCCACTCTCGGTGTTTGCAAAGGAAAGCCTGCCTGCGGGATGGTCCTTCTGCAAAGCCTCTTCTCTCCCTCTTTCCTGCCCCTGACACTCACCTATCTCTATCCGCTTATTTTAAGAGTGCCTAACGCTCCCAGCTCTAGAAGGTCCTGTTCTCAAGGGAGAACACTCAGTGCAGCCCATCCTGGGCTAGAGCTCTCCCGATCTCACATTACATCTGACTCTGAATCTGATGTAAGCACCTGTTCTGGTACGTGGCCAGGCAGCAGATCCTGACCCCGGCCCTCAGGCCGGCCAGCTGCTGCTCCACAGAGAGCAGTGCCCATGGAGGAAGAAGCCTCGCTGCATTCAACCCTCTCTATTTACAGGTGTGAGGCTTGAAGTGGGTCAGGCTGAGACCCGGTCAGGTCGGCTGAAGGGAAAGGGAGTGATCAGGAATAGTGAATCAACAGGCAGTACAGCGCTGGCCAAGAGGCACTCAGGAGACTTGGATGTAATTGGGGCCAACTGACGATTTTAAAAAATACACATTTTTTAATAAAAGCAGTTTCTGACATGTAATCTGACATTTCTAAAGTTAATAACAGTGAAGTGGTCCCCAGAGAACTCTGCTTGGATACTGGCTGCATTAGGTGAAACCCCACAAACATTTCCGTGGCCTTGGTGGACCACGCAATGTGCCATGTGAAGGCTTAATGAGGCAGTCAACATTTTTACGATCTTTGCTGACCATTAAATATCCCACAAAAATGCTTCTGCTGCCACGAAGTTCTAAGAAATGTGACTGTAGGAAAACGACAAGAATCAGCATATCAAGAATGAGCACTCTTAAAAGAAACCCTTGTTCTCTGGCCCTTTGCTTCCCCAGGGGAGCTTCTCCTATAATCGCCCGGCCCTGTACGTCTTACACACCCACATTCACACAGCCCAGCCCTGCAGTCCACACACTCCACTTCATGAGACAAAGAACGCAGGTTTATCCAAAGGTAGCTGTTTGCCCGACCACCTCGCTTCTCCTGCTCTGTCAGAGCAGGACACCTCTGACAGAGCAACTCTCCCCATCATGCTTGGGCCTTGAAACGCAGCCTTAATCCCCCAGGGTCTGCACTGCCTGCCTCAAGGTCTGCACCCTTCTGGTGTTCTGAGCACCAGTCAGTGCTCTTCCCAGACGAACTTCACTTCTCACCGAGCGTGGCCTCCACCTCAGAGCTGCTGCGCTTGCTGTTCCTCTGCTCCCCAGCAGTCCCCTGTGTCCCTGTCCTCCTCTAAGCCTGTGGGGTCCTGGTTTAGGAGGCTTCTTTCTCTAGCAGCCCCCTCCCTACAACTCTGGGTTTTCTACCATTTCCATTCAGTCTCTGGCACCCTCTCCCAGTATCTGCCAGGCAATTTTTTCAATGGTGGTGAAGTATATGTAACATAAAAATTTCCATTTAGCCATTTTAAATGTATCACTCAGTGGCATTAAGTATATTTTCACTGTCATGCAAACTCTACATGATTCCCTTCTCACCGAGCCTGAAGACTACCATTCCTCACTCTGTTTCTATGAATTTGACTACTTTAGATACCGTCTGTCCAGGCAGTCATACAGTGTTTGTCTTTTTGCCCCTTGCTTATTTCACTTAGCACAATGTCCCCAGGGCTCATCCATATTACAACAGTGTCAGAACTCTCTTCCTTGTTAGGATGAATAATGTTCCATTGTTCATACCGTATTTTGTCTCTCCATTCATCCCTCGATGGATAGCTGGGTTGTTTCTCCCTTTCGATTATTATAAATAATGGTGTTGTGAATGTAGGAGTACTAATATCTGTTCAGGTCTCTGCTTCCAATTCTTTTAGGTATATATCCAGAAGTGGAACATCTGGGCCACGTGGTAATTCTATTTTTGATTTCTCTACAACCTTGCCCACATTTGTTGTTTGCTGTTTTTTCTATAATAACTGACCTATTGAGTGTAAAGTATCTCATGGTGATTTTGATTTAATCAAGCAATATCATGGCTGCCCTCTCCAGGATCTGCAGACCCCAGTAAGCTGAAGAGTTTGTAAGGGCATTGCCTGTGCCTTCCCACCCCCTCCACATCTTCCACCTAAGCGCAGGGCCCACCCAGGCGCTGTGGCTGAGTAACAGTGAGCAAAGAGAGTGAATCATGGCTCTGATATCCCTTCAGGCTTGGTGTTGAGCATCCCCTGGAAAACAAGCATCACCTACACCACTTCTGAGAAAACGCTACTTGGCCTACTCAGGGTCCTTCATCGGCCATACTAGGAACAAGGTCCAATTATTTGCACCTCTTTCCTATATTGTCCTTTGCCTTTAAGTAACTTTTAAACTATTCCTGAATATAACACAGACCTGGCTCTGCCACCCCACTGCTTCTGCAGCAATATGCTACAGAGAGCCACTGTCCCATGAAGGAGGATGACTCAGCCAGCATGCTTACTGGTGACAGGTTCCAGGGAACTCAGACTCTTCATTTCTTCATATAAAATGTACCTGAAAATGTTTTGAATCTTTGGAAAGAAATACCTATTTGGAAACTCAGCAGCAGCCCCTTTATCGAGGGACCCTAAGTATATGTTGGCTTTTTAGAAATTCATCCATTTGGTCAAAGTGGGCCCACAGGAGCCAGTAGAGGAGGGTGCGTGCTCGTTTGTATGAGTGGTAGTTTCCTGGGTCAGGTCGGTTTGTGTGTGTGTCTGACTCCATCCTGGGCCAGGCAACCACCACAGCCCTCAGTCTGAACTTGCACATCCGCTCTTGAGAAGGACATGGGGACCACGCTACTTGCTCACATTTCAGTCTCAGGGCTAGCACTGTGTGGTGTCCTGAGAGGCTGCTACCACAAGGACAGTGGATGATGGTGAGCCCACCTGCCCACCTGCCCACTAGGGCCTCCTACCCTCTTCTGTGCTTGGCCTCTTGCTAGAATCGATGATCTTTTCAAGTCAAGGACATTGGCAGAGAAAGTAACAGATCCAAGACTAGAACCCAGACCCCAGTTCCCACCCCATCCCTTCCAACATCTGTTGACCTTTCAGGCCCTTGGCCACCAGGACCTCCCACTGTGAATCGGCATGAGTCTGCCAGCACCATACCATGTCTGGGTGTGGGACAGGGTTAGTGCTGATGGAAGGATTCCTGAGTGGGGTGGGGGTAAGTCAGACCTCTCCAGAGTCTCTCAGCAGTATTTAATTCTTGTGTTCTTCCAGACTAAAGTGCTGTCCCGAGAAGGGGAGCCTCGCAGGGTTACTGAGCCACACCAGCCTTTCTTCCAGAGGGCAGGCACAGCCACCAGGCCTGCTGGCTGAGGACAGTGTCCAGTCTCACCTGCCAGGCCCTTCTGGAGTAACAGCCTTCTACCTCTCAGTGGCTCCTATGGAATCCCCATATCAACTACCTTACAGTCTCTGTTTCAAGGGAAACTGAGGCTCAGAAAGAACTAGAAATTTGCTCAACAGTACACAGTGTCTTGGTTACTTTTCTCTTGTTGCTGAGACAAAATACCTGATGCCCAGAATTAAGGAAGGGAAGGTTTATTTGGCTCACAGTTTGTGGAGGTTTCAGTCCATACTTGGCTGGCTCCAAGGCAGAGTGGCACATGGCAGGGGGCAACAGTTCAAGGCGACACAAGACAGTAAAAGCAGCAAGAGCAAAAATGGGGGGGAAGCCTCTGTTCTTTCTTATATTGCATCTCAGCTATCTGTCCAAGCTCACACCATCTCTGTGCTTTCCTCTTCCACAAGCTGACCATGTTCACAAAGCAAGGACCCCAGGTCCCCTGCTGAATCACTTTAAAGTTTAAAGTTGAACTTTTGAACTTCTCAAATTGACACAATAAATCAACCATAACACACAGCTACCTAGGGATGAAACCAATTCCTTACCTTCCTATACTATGTGTTTATCTTATCTGGTGGGCAGCCCTTTCCTGCCATGGAGATATCTGTCCCTCATGTTTGGCTCTCCACCAGCACCTGTGGAGGAGAAAGGACGGACAGCATCAGAAGACAATACCACTTCCACCTGGGCAGGACTGCCCCTGTGGTCACCCAGTCTGCTCCCTCTCACTTTGGTTTCCAGGGCCCCTCCAGCCAGCTAAGCAGGTGGGGCGATGCTCAGGGACCCTGCCCTGGAGATCTAGAAGAAAGGCTGGGATTGGACGTCAGTTGGTAGGACCAGGAGGCTGGGGTGATGGTCACCACTGGGCACTCTCGTTGCAGGGAACCTTAGCCATGTCCAGGCAGAGCTTTGCCAGAAGCATTTGCATAAACCAGCCCCTGGTAAGTGCCCAAACACCGTGCAGGATGTGCAGAAGGAGACCAGCAGCATGTGGGGCCTGATGGTGATCGCACAGTTGCTGGCCGGGATCGGCACCGTGCCCATTCAGCCGTTTGGGATCTCCTATGTGGACGACTTCGCAGAGCCCAACAATTCACCCCTGTACATCTGTGAGTCACGGGCTCAGCTTGGACTGTGGGGAGGGTCCAGGACACAGCACTTGCTGAAGCCCTGGGGGATAAAAGCGATCTGAAGTTCTCTTCCTATAACACAGTGAATGAGTGCAGAGTTCTGGGAGTCAGGCTGACCTGGTGCCAGTGCCAACTCACCCCCAGCTGCATGGTGCCTGCAGATGGAGTTAAGATTGTCTGTGGTATTACATGAGCTAGCGTCTGTACCCACTCAGCCCCATGCAGGGTGTGGTGTGGGTCCTAAACCAATACCCCAAAAGTAAGACCGGGTCTCATGTTAATTTTTGCTCCGAAAGATTCCATAGGGATTCTTTTCAGGGCATGTCTTATTTTTTCATGTATAACAATCTACATTTATTCATGTACAAAAACCTGCATTTATTCAAATACAGTGATGGCATCTTTCTCTGGAGCATCATCATAACTCTCCAAATCCCTAATTCTGGCCTAAATTTCTTGGGACTCGGTATCACATAGAACCATTGGCCCCAATCTCTCACAGCCAGCAACAGCGCCCTCCTTACGTGGGCACTTCTCGCCCACAGAGCCTGCTTGTAGTACTGTGGTTCAATACTGTATTGAACCGTGAAGATTCATATGATACACCCACATCCGTCCTTTATGAACTATGCACTTTGTTTGTGCATGAGTCTGTACTCCAGTTGGCTTTTTGGCAATAAGGCTTGAACTCATCTGTTTACAAAGGTGTTACCTCTTATCGAAAGGCACCCATAATTAAGTACTTTACAAGTACTTAATTATAACATATTATCATTTAAGTATTACTGGCAATAATAGTATTTATTTATAGTAATATTATTTTATAATTCAATGCATCTATCATGTACTGCAATGGATATATTAAATGTGTCCACCTGAGTGGACAGACATCTTTATTGGGGCTTATTTTGGGGGGGTGGAGCTTATGTTTTAGGCATCCTGAAAAAGCATGCTAGGGCTTATTTTATGGTTAGGTCTTATTTTGGGGGAAAGGCGGTAGCAATCCCTGGTGCTGTCCAGCCCTGTGATCAGAGCTGAGACACACATTTTACTTTAGGGCCTGTTCACCTCAGACAAGTACATGCATGGCAAACAGCAGATGGCCATCCAAATGCCCAAATCCTTTCCTTAGAACCAGCCACACTGAGCACCCTCAGGCCCACGCCCCACACCAGACCCCAGAAACTCCTGCCAGGGTCACTAGCACTGTGCCAGCAGGAAGCTTCACTCATCAACACACCCCTGGGCTGGCACTGTAAACATGGATGAGGGCTGTTTCCTTCCTATCCAGCAGGTCTCTCTGGCAGGTGCGGGAGGAAAAGCAGGCTTGATGCTATAAGTCTTGGCATGTTGAGTAGTTATGGCTTTCTCCATGGGAGGTGCCCTAGGTATGGGCTTGTTACAGCCAAGGAATAAATGGGTGATGTGTCAGGAATCCTCCTCAGTTTAGAAGCCTATGGCTGCCCAACCTTCTCAGTCCCCCTCAGCATGCTTTCCCTTGCTTCAATTTCCAGCCATCCTATTTGCCATTGCTGTGTTTGGACCGGCTTTTGGGTACCTGCTGGGCTCGGTCATGCTGCAGATCTTTGTGGACTATGGCAGGATTGACACAGGTGAGTGCGTGCAATTCCATAAAACATCCCCACCCCACCTCCCATCTCATTAGGGCAGAGAGTGAAGCTTCAACTACAGATGCTCACTGCCTCCTGCCCGCTCCCTCTTGCAGTCCTTCAGGCAGCCAGAAGCAGAGTCTGTGCCTCCCCTCACCAGGGCTCATGCTGGGTCCTGTCGGGCATGAGCTGCTGGGGCAAATACACTTCTTACCCTCAAGAAGTTTGTGGTGGGAATGGCCTCCACAACTGCCCATCTTACTGGTGACATTAAAAGTAGCTCTCTGGTTTTTCAAGATGCTTCTGATTTTTTAAAAACAAAAGAATTAATAAGAACTCTCAAAGGAAAAGGAGACACTGCATAAGATATACCTGTGGATTATGACTCATCCAGAAGAGTGTGACATGGTGCCTTTGCCCTGTGTGGGCACCAGAGTTGTGTCTAATCCTGTTTCCACCTTTTACTAGCTGAGGAGGTCTTAGTAACTTGATCTTTCTGAAATTCAGTTACCTCGTCTGTAAATGCTAGTAAAAATATAGCAGTTGTAAAGATTAGAGTAAGCTTAATGTATGCTAAGCTGTGAGCTCATATTCTTCCAAAAATGGTATGGACTAAATCACCGAGAATCTTAGAATGAGAAACTATAGTCTACACACCAGGCACAGGTGCTGAATTAACAGTTAGAGGACCAGAACACCAAGCTACATCTCCAGGCCCTCTCGCTCTTTTTTTTTTTCCTAAGACACTAAGTTTTTGCCAAGTTGTCCCAACTGGCTTTAAACTTGCAGTTCTCCTGCATCAGCCTTCCATGTAGCTGGTATTACAGGTGTGCATCATGGCACCCAGCTCAGCAAAGTCTTCTTGTCTATGGGCATGTCTTGTATTCCCCCAACCTCCCACAAGACAGGAAAGGTTGGCAGTGTGGCAGAGGGAATAGAAAAGTGCTTTGGAAGTTTGTGTGTCTTTGATTGGTTGGGTTGAATGTTGTTTGTTGTGGTGGGGTTTGAACCTAGAACCTTAGCATATCACCATACTTTTATTATACCTTGGCTACATTACTTAGCTACATTACTACATTACACCTTAGCTACATTATTTATACCTTAGCTATATCACCATACCTTTATTTTTATTTTCAGACAGGGTCTCTCTAAGATATTAAATTATCCACACTGGGCTCAAACGTATGATCTTCCTGTCTCCGCCTCCCAGAATGCTGGGTTACAGGCATGTGCCACCATGCCTGACCACTTTGGAAGTTTAAGAGCAGGAGAGAACACTCCTGCATGAGTCAGTCAAGGAGGAATTCTGGAACTGTGATGTCTGTGTGAAGCCATGACAGATGGGTGGGATCTGTAGTGGTGGTGTTGGGAGGGAGGAAGCTACTTGAATACAGCCAAGAAGGTGGGAAGCGTGGAACTGTCTGAAGTTGACATTTTCCTGAGGATGCATTGGGAGGTGGGACCGAGCCAGACTCTCATGAAGAGCAGCCCCACCAGTGCCTGGCACACAGGCAGGCCCTGCTTGTCTCACAAAGAATCAGGCAGACCCTAACCTGACCTGCTGTCAGAGTTTAGGCTCCTATCCCTAGGGGCTGTTACATCACAGTGTCAATTGCCTATGCTTCAAGATCAAGCCATCTTTGGCTTTTTGTTGGCACTTCCTAAATTGGTCCCTGACTTCTGCCCAAAGAAACCAGTAACTGAGCTCCCAGGCCACCTGGGAAAGTGCCCAGGGATGCCTATCACTGTATGACTGTGAACTGTTCTGCCATCTTCTCTTCTCCCTATGCCCACAGTTATTTTGCACAGACAAATGCAAGGGAAGACTTCCAGATGTGTAGGGAGAGTGGCCAGGGAAAGGACTCACCCTTGACTGCCAGGCAGCCCATGCTATTGGTGGTTGCTTCCTCAGACCCCTTTCTTAAGAAGGATCAATAAAGCTGAGCTGTATGTAGTAGAGTTCCATGGTTAAGAGCATAGGTTTCCGCACCCAGAAGATATAGGGCTGAAATTGGCCAATGAAATGACACTTATTAGCCTTAACCTTGGACAAGAGACTTAAACACTCAGACCTTCAATTCCTGATTGGCTAGAAGTGAATACATGTAATATCTACCTTAAGACCTCCTCCATGAGCCCCACAGGATAACAGACATAAAGTGTGTAGGGTCTGGACCATGGGAATTCACTCTTTTCACCATTACTTCTGCCAAGGGCTTGGAACAAAATCAGTGAGGGGAACATACTGCCCCTTCAGTCTGTGGATCTGCTCATGCTCAACTCTGTGTGTGGTGGCCTCAGTTCTCTGGCAAAACCAGAATGTCTAGAGAGGGAATGTTGTCCTGGCCAAGGGTCTAGCTCATGGTTTGCTTCTTCTTCACTGAAGAGAGCAGTCAATAGAACACTCCCTGAATAACACTTCTCTTTCCAGTAATGTGAGAAGATGCATTTATTCAATGAACACTTGTATTCTTTTGTTTCTCTTCAGCTAAAGTTAACCTGAGTCCAAGTGACCCTCGATGGATTGGAGCCTGGTGGCTGGGCCTGCTCATTTCTTCAGCTTGTTTGATTCTCACTTCTTTCCCCTTTTTCTTCTTTCCTCGCACGATGCCCAGAGGAACAGATGTAAGTTTCTGAGAGCCCATGACTCTACCTGTATGAGTTTAAGAAAGAGAGGCAGACATAGACAATAAATAGAACTGAAAAACTACAGCAGGTTAGGCAAATTCCAGGTGATACTGAAACAAGGGTCATGCCAGAGAACTTCTCAGAGCTTTAGAGGGTTCCAAGGAACATAGTTTGGGAAACACTGAGTTTGTCTAAAATGGGCTAAAGAGGTAAGAGTCCATAAAAGCTGAGTAGGTCAGACTAAGAAGGGGGCCTCTGAGCACTGGACAGACAGTGTGAGAATGGGCGGAAAGTGGAGAATATTTAGAGGAGGGTGACAACCCAAGCATCTTCTAGTCCTATCTGGGGAAAAGAATCAGGGCAGGATGGCAATGGAAAACAGGGAAGAGAAGACTGTAACTGAGACTTGATGAGGCTGATGCATCTACGCACACGTATCCCATGAGGTCCCGGGCACTGTAGTGACTGGGTGGTCACCTGCTGGCAACAGGGAAGCTAGGTTAAGATGGGGGTGAGGAAGGTCTGAAGAAGTTCAGGTGAGACATGGAGCACACAGTTGAGGCAGGGCATGGCTGTCAGAGAGTTGGGACAAGGCCAAGGCCAGATGTTTCAGGAGGGCAGCTGTGAAGGACCCAGCAGCGGGCCAGATTGGAGAAGGAGATCATATCTGTACTCAGGTTTGAGTCCAAAGTAAAGCTCAGTGCTTGGCAATGAGGTGGATGAAATGAGCCTGACCTGTGGGTGGAGGGGTGGGGCAGAAGCACTTGGCTTGTCTTAGGGAGGAATTTTAGAGGTTGGCAGTGAGTCCTGGTGGTTTGGGCGGTGTCACGTAACCTGGGTTTGAGTGCACCTGTGTTACTTATAAACCAGCTGAGTGGCCTCAGGCAAGGCGCTTTGTTCCAGACCTCTCTCTTCTGGAGAACACTCAAGACCACTAGAGTAGCTATCTTAGAAGAAAGCTGTGATGAGAGACAACATGTGTGGAGTGTGCCCAGTGCTCAGCGTGGAGTAAGAACTCAGGGCTTGGAGTGCCTCTTCCTGCACTGAGCCCTCTGCAGGATCCTCGCAGTGGCAGAACTTAGAACTCTGTGTGATGCTCCAGAGCTGGGGCCTGGGACTGGGGCTGTTGCTCTCAGAAGGACGCAGGTTCAGGAGGGTATGGGCCCAGAAGGTGCCCGGGAAGGGCTAGAACAGAGCCCTGAGCGGAATTCACCACAGGCCCAGGAGGAAGCAAGGGCCCCAGAGAGAAGAAAGAGAGGCTAAAAACAGTGCCTTCTAGATCTCAGTGTCCCACAAGCCAGAAGTCCTTGGAACCTGAGGACCAGAGAGAAGTGTAACCGTGACATACAGACAAGGAGTGGGATCAAGAAAGACACCTTTGGCATCAGTCATGTGAAAGTTAGATATGAAATAAGACGCCCTTAGGCATTGCAGAAGGCATTGGCACATGTGTATGCTGGTCTGCAGCCAAGGCACACCAGGCTCAAAAAAATACAAGTGGTGTTTGCTTCAAGAGTGTGTTCTCTGGACGCACTCCTCTACACACCCGCCAGCCCTGAGCCCTGAGACCAAAGGGTCGTGAGCCCAGGGAAGGGCTGTTAACACGCACTCCTTCTTCTGCCTCCAGGGTTCTCCTGCTACAGAGGATGGAGCAAGAAAGATGGAGGAGCTCAGTTCAAGAGGTTCCCTGTTGGATTTCATTAAAAGTAATGGACTTACCCAGCAGCAACCTGGGGAGGGGGGATGGCCAGGGACAGTCAGAGCAGGTGGCCCATGACTGTAGGCCCACCTCCAAGGTGACCTGCACTCAGGAGGGCTTCTGCAAGAACCCTGCCAGTCACTTCTTCACAGCTACAGGCAGAACCAAATTCAGGCAGGCGATCTCTGCTCCCACCCCATGGTCTGGCCCACACTTCCTCCCTTCCTCATGGGGGAAACAGCGGTAGTCCTATTTCTATCTCATTGCCCATTGCTTGGTACTTCCTCATCATAGCCCATGAGCATGTTGCATGGGCAGTCCAATGGCTGTGTGCTCCAGGACTGGCCACTGCACATCTTGGTGCCGCTAATTCTGCTCCACAGGAGAGTCATCTGGAGGGAGGATATAAGGCAGTGGCCCCTCTAGAAGTAGCCAGAATGGCCCAGGTCTGGCCTCTGACGACAATTTGCTCGTAGGGTTCCCCCGCATCTTCCTGAGGCTGCTCATGAACCCGCTCTTCATACTGGTGGTCCTGGCCCAGTGCACCTTCTCCTCTGTCATCGCCGGCCTCTCCACGTTCCTCAACAAGTTCCTAGAGAAGCAGTATGGCGCCTCCGCAGCCTATGCCAACTTTCTCATTGGTGGGTCCAGAGGGTGCAGTGGGAGCTGGGTGGCACCCCCAAGGGAAGGCCTGGGTACTCCACTGTCTGCCCAGGGACACTCAAAGGCTGAACCGGATACAGACTGGAGACAGAGGACTTGCCCAGGAGAAAGAATTTTAAGGACATTTTTCCTGGTTGGCAATTTAGAATGTTCTTGGCAGATTTCTGGGACTCTTATTATTCCATTCAGGAGTGGGTGGAGGCTGGAGGCTGCCTTCCTCCCAGCCAAGGAGCTGCACGTCTGACCCAGCTGATGACATCACTGGGGTCAATAGAGGAGAGAGGGGAATGCAGTTGGGGTCAGAAAACAAAAGTTCCCTGGGTTTCTTCCCTTCTCCTTCAAGAACATGAACACATTTGCTTTGTTAAGACTGATCCTCAACCCAAGTGGACATTAGGACAGGAGAGCTCTACACAGCTCAGGCGCTCAGCCCCACGTAGGTCAGTGGAACCAGAATGAAGGCAGGGCCCAACATCAGCATTTTTTGTGGCTGAGGATGTGGTCCCACCAGGTGTCCAAGTGAATAACTGGGCCCAACCACGTTACTAGGTGAATTTGACCCTATGGATTTGGCAAGGTGGTCAGTACATGAGATTTGAGGATGACTCCCCTGTCCCCCTGACTTCCTTTGTGGCTATGGCATCCCCTTCGGGCCTTCTGTCACTGACTGGCAGGTCAGGAGTCATGTCCCTTGCCCTACTAAGCCCATGTGGTCACAGCCAGGATGCAGAGAGGGCCAGATAATTAAAGATGCTTAATAAATCCACATTCAACCCACATTTCTTGGGCGGCAAGGGCTCTGCTTCCTTTTGCCTCTGCATGGCAGGAAAATGCTCTAGTGAGGATAACGCTCTAGATGTGCCTGGAAAATAGTAAACGCTCACTTGATGCCAGCAACTACTGTTATAATTCAACCTCTCTAGTGTTCCTTCATACGCCTTTCCTGCCGGTCCATCTTAGTGCTCCCAGGCTGCGCACTCAGACCAGCTCCTTTTCTCTGTCTGTAGGTGCTGTAAACCTCCCTGCTGCAGCCCTGGGGATGCTGTTTGGAGGAATCCTCATGAAGCGTTTTGTTTTTCCTCTGCAAACCATGCCCCGAGTGGCTGCCACCATCATCACCATCTCCATGCTCCTCTGCATCCCTCTGTTCTTCATGGGCTGCTCCACTCCGGCTGTGGCCGAGGTCTACCCTCCCAGGTAATGGGGATAAGGAGTGCGGCGATACCCTTTGCTACAGAGCCCATGCCTTCTTTTCTACCTCCTCCGTTCACCTCTCCCTGTTCACTTTTGATGTGAGCTGTCATGTAGCCACTTAGGAAATCAGGTATTAAATAATATGCTCTATTATGAGATGATCACAGGGTCCTAGCAGGCCACTAGCAATCAGAGTTAAGGTTTTGTTTTTTTTAAGAAGGGCCCAAAACCAATTAGTTTGGTTTCAGGGTGAACCTGAGCCCCAGAAACCAGGAAATATGCTATGTTTAGCATCAGCTCTGAGCCAGCTAAAATTACAGAATCTCACTGAGCTACTGAAGAAAGAGAAGAAACGTGAAAACATGTAGAAGAGAACAATGAAAGACTTTGAAAAATCAGAGCAAGTGAGGAAGGGGCAGGTGACGTCTACCTGTCAGTATGCATAAACCAGTACAGGCCAGAGGTTTTGAGTCTGGCTTCATGTTCAGGAAGGGGCACACGGAGCAGGGAGCATGTTCATTTCCCCTGGATGCCACCTCGCAGCAACCTTCCCTTCTGAACTCTGCCTAATGAGGACACCCAACTTGGAGACACTGCACCTCTCAGCCTCAGTGTTTTCTCTTTCTCTTTGAAATAACCTCCTCTGTCTTGGGTGGATGAAGGAGGGAAGAGTATGGGGAAAGGAGGGTGGCTCAAGGTAGGGACCACACCGCTTCTCGATAGGTTGGTCATGGACTGAGAGAAGCATAGACACCTTCAGGCTTTTTGGTGGCTTTCAAGGGGAGGTTAGTGACGGGCTTTGTCATCAAACTGGCCCGAGTTTGAGTCCCGGCGCTCTTTATTAGTTGGAGGAAGTTACTTAACTTACCTAAGTTTCAGTTTTCTCATCCACAAAAAGTGAATAATTAATTGAAGACTTATTTCAATGACTGTGCATGACTGTGAATAATTAATTGAAGACTTATTTCAATGACTGTGCATGACTGTGAATAATTAATTGAAGACTTATTTCAGTGACCAGTATGAGGTGCAGTGTCTCCAAGTCAGGTCTTGTGCCTGGCACATAGGAGATGCCCCACAAATAGCACCTATCATTAGCAGTAGTATTTCAGCAAACCTCTGCACTATAGTTTATCAACCTCTATTGCAACCTCCCCCAAAGACCATGAATGTCAGCTATGAGGGATGATGGGAACAGTCAGGCAGACCAGTGAAATCCCCTGGGTTGAAGTTCAGGAGGGTGGGGTGAACTGGACAATATCTATATGGCCCAGAAGTGACCAGTGACAGCCACGGCTGCCTCAAGTGGTCCCAGCCACTACCTGCAGCCTGAGCTTGGCTGGAAGGGGAAGGAAGGCAAATACTGCCTGTGACTCTCCCATTGCATCTGTCATTTCTCTCTTCAAAGTCTTGCTTGGTTGGTTACTTTGAGTCCCACTATGGCAGAGAGTTTGCTGACCAAGGCTTTCCAACTGAGTAATTAGTGGGTGTAAACTGCAAATGTCAGAAGAAATGGAGAGGCGCCGTAACCCCAAACAGTGGCAGAGTCATTGTTGGCTCCTACATGCATAATTCTGATTCCCAAGGTGGCACTGGCCCAAGACAAACAGAGACACACAGGCCCATTAGCCAGGCCAGGAACTCACACTGGGCTGGAGTGTAGAATTATTTCTTTGGTCTTGCTTTGTTTGATTCCTTGTTTCCTGTTTTGCTGGCAGCACATCAAGTTCTATACATCCACAGCCTGCCGCCTGCCGCAGGGACTGCTCATGCCCGGATTCCATCTTCCACCCTGTCTGCGGAGACAATGGAATTGAGTATCTCTCTCCTTGTCATGCCGGCTGCAGCGGCATCAACGTGAGCTCTACTGGCTCCAAGCACTTGGTGAGCGCAGCTGAGGTCCTGGCGTCAGGAGGAGCCCCAGGCAGTCTTAGAGCCCACTGTGTGTCCTCGCAGACTGCTCTAGGCTCCCAGACTCATTGTCCGCATCCTGGCCCCCTCTGGGCTCCATCCGCCCTTCTCTGCACCCCGCTGCCTTAGGCTCATGTCCGGATGCCGCCAGCCCAAAATCAGTTAGAGACTGGCCCACGTCCAACAAGCTTGTGCGCCAGACCTGACAATGCTCACAGCAGGAACAAGTCAAAGCACTTGCCCTCCACCAAGAGACCTTCAAGCCTCATTTCAAAAGGTCCTGAGGGGTGCTGCTGGGTCCTACATGCTTGCCCTGCTGCGAAACCTCACTGACTCGCCTAGGTGCACTGAGAACAGAGAGCCTCTGTGACATGGATCAGAAGGTCATCTGTCTCAACCCCTCGGTTCCCAGGCGTCCCTCACAACTGGCCTCAAGTCAGGCAGCTGTATGACTAGAAGCAGAGGCCGGCCTCGTGTGGGGCACCAGGGCTCAAGGCCATGTGTCTCCTGGTTGCCAGCCTTCCACCTGGGCAGCCACATTCATGTGCTCACCTGGGGAGGTCCTGTGCCCTCCAAGAACTGTGACTCCAGGTCTCCCAGGACCAGTCAGCAGCAAACTGACTTGTCATTTGTTTAGTTAATCAACAAACAATGAGTGCTAGGCACAGCCACAGGCATGGAGCGCATGGAGGTGGGTCTCAGGCAGAGTCCCTGCTCACTGAGTTTGCCAATAAAAGCACAAGACGATGTGAGAGAGTAACCCATGCCAGGGAGAAACTCCGTAGGACAGAGAGTGCCTGGGGGCCATTTCCTGAGGAGATGACATTAGAACTGATAAGCAGCAGAAACAAACTAGGAAGACCTGGGAGAAAAGCGATGCCGCGTGAGCAATGGCCAGGGTGTGGCTGTGCTGAGTGTGCTGTAGGGAAAGAGATACACGGCAGGTGGGCCCTGCTGGGCCAGGAGCAGGCTGGGGCCAGGCTTAGGAGTTAGGTGTCCCTTCTAAAAGCAGTGGAAGTCCATGAGCTACCAAAGTTCCCGTAAGAATAGGGACATACCTGTTCCCCGTGGCCCTGCGGAGGGCATGGCCTGACCAGCCCCCACTTGCCTGCCACCCTGCCGTGAGGGGCAAAGCAAGACTGCTTCCCAGCTGCCTCTGTGTGCAGAGGGCTGTGGCGCTCTCGGGCAGAGAGAGGATGAGGAGCTTGGACAAGATGGTCCCTTTGTGGTCTTAAAGTTGGAGGAGTCTGTGGCGGCTTCTGTGGTTTTCTTATCTTTATTTACTCACCTCTGACTCATCCTTCCCCAAAATAATCTTGGCAAGTTTCCAATAACAACACATAAAGATTAAAAACCAATTAACATAATGTAAGGGGGAAAAACCTATATGTTCAAAACGCAAACTCAGGAAGATAACAGCAATATGGCACATAACACACTTCTGTGCTTCCTAGGAGCCAAGGTATGGGGGCCGGCAAGCTGGGGGGATCTTGCCCGCTGGTAGGATCTTGGCATTAGATTGGGTCTAAGTCCAGGTGCCTAACACCTGCTGCTGGAGCCCAGACCGCACTGGACGCTGGTTCTGGCGAAGACAATTTCTGCTGCCCAAACACTGAGGGAGGCGGGGTCCCTGGGTACCTTCAGACGCTCACTGTCTCTCCCCACCTCCAAATCCAGGCTTACTCTCCTGGGGAACCTGGTGCCCTGCAGGGCAGAGAATTTAACCCAGAGTGACTCAGGCCAGAGCTGGTATCGATATTGGAAGTGTTTGGAGGTGAATCAAGACAAATTTCCCCTCTTTTCTCTCCCTTTCCTCTTTAAGGTCTATTTGAACTGCAGCTGTGTGTCCACGAAGTCTGCCTCGGCAAAGACGGGATCGTGCCCCATCCCTTGTGCCCGCTTCCTGCTCCCCACCATCTTCCTCATCTCCTTCGCAGCCCTGATAGCCTGTGTCTCCCACAACCCCCTCTACATGATGGTTCTGCGGTGAGTGGCGCTCCAGGGCCCTGGTCTTGGCTTCCATGTCCCCACACCTCCCTTTGGCTTTAGACCCTGCTGCCCACATATCTCACCTCCCTTCTCTGGCCCTCAGAGTCCTGTGAGTGTCAACACACAAGGCTGTTTTGGTAATACAGGCAAATAATACCATCGGCACTCAGGCCAAGCTCTGCACTGAGCTGCACGCTGTGTCCCGGTTCAGTTCCCCAGCACCTGTGTGACACAGGCGTGTTAGCACCCCTCTTCCACATTAGCCCAGGAAGACAGGGCTGGTGCCTGGCTGAGCCACATGTGAAAGCCAGGCTGTCTGGCTCCCCGCTGTGGAAATGCTAGCAGATTCGCTTATTTTTAAATCCTGAAAGAACTGAGAGGAAGAGAACTGAGTTGGATGCACAAAGTCAAGGCAGGAAAATAAGGCAAGTTCCAGAGACAGAGTGAGAGCTAGAGGAAAGGCCCAAAAGGAGACCATCCCAGTATGCCAGGAGCCACGGCCAAGTCTTCAGGTCAGAAGGGTCAGGCTGGCCAGGTGGGAAGGAAGGAGAGAGGCATCCCAGCACAGCTGCTGCTTCCGAGGCTTTTACAAGGCACGTCCCTCCTTTCACCTCCTTCTGCAAAGGAGAAAGCAGCTTTTCACCCAGGCTGGCCTACATTACCCTCCTGCTCCCCACCACACTCCTGTATCCTCACACACCTCAGGAGCGGGCAGGAACACAGGCCTCAGAACCCTGGTGCCAGGGGCAAAGTCCCTGCTCCAGCACACGCTGGCTGAGAGTCTTGGGTGTGGCCTAACCTCCCCGAGCCTCAGGAGCCTCACTTCATGTGCAGACGATATTGACCTCAAAGCCTTAGTGTCAGGATTATGTGATTGATTGATTTATAAATTGGTGCCCTCCATATTGGTTGATTATCACTATTAAGCAAATCATTGTAATTGTTAACAGCTAGCTCAGTGCCCAGGGCCTGTTTTCTCTAGCAGGCCAGGAGACAAGGAAGAAGCAGAAGCAACCCCTTCTCAAGATCTCCAATTTTCTTCAATCCACAAACCGCTGTCAAGCTCACCCGAGAGCTGCCAAGCTCCTTTTCCTATTGCCATTTTGAGAAAGCTGGAAAAAGTAGGAAACTCCAGAGTGAAGACAAAGGGCTTGATTACAGCAGAGAAGCACAGGTCCCTCGCGTTATATCATATTACATCTATGCCTTGCAAAGCCTACAGGGGTGAGGTGGAGAGTCCTGTGTGTGCTCTGCATGCATCCCAGCTGAGGACACTGAGCTCAGGAGGGCCCCTGCTTACACTCTCCCCCTCTTCTTACTGTCCCCCATCCTGTGCTTTCCACATACAGGCACTCTGACCCAAGGCACTTCAGTGGGGTTCCCTTCTTGCACCCCAGGGTCAGGTGGACCAGAGTAGAACCTCTGACCTGAGACAGTCTGCATGAGGCTATGAAAAGGCGAGGAGACAGGAGGAGGAAATCTCATAGGGAAGTCTCTGGGCAGCAGCGGGTGAGGACAAACCCTGTGGAATGCTAGGATGGAACAGAACATCATTTCAACCACACAATGGGTTTTTCTAGAAGATGTCTCCTTTCTAAGTGTGTTCAGGGGCTGAGATCAAACTGGAGAGGAGGCCCAAAGATTTCAAAAAGGCTCACAGATAAATCTTCCTGGAAAAGATGACAGAATAAATGCCATTTACTGTGAAGATGAGGCTTGAAGACAACTTTGTCTCAGGCATCATTGGTGTTAGTCCGGGGCCCCAGCCAGCACGGGAACGCAGGCTGGCAGCAAAATTGAAGATGTGGAAGGAGAGAGAATGATTGCAAACCCAAGAGAAAGTCAGGGTCAGAGGGGCAGACACCAGAAGGGGCCCCAGACTTCCATCAAAAGCCAGACTGGGGTTCCCAAGTTTACTCAGCTGAGAACCTGAGAGTGAATCTGCTCAGGTTAAAGACCAAGACAAGGAGGGTACCTAGTACTGACCGGGCCACTGGGGTTGTGGGGGACTTGCAGACACAAAGAGAGCATGAATTGTGTCAGGCTCTTTCCATGGGGGCCCCAGCTGGGGACCCTCCCCAGCCTACACTCCAGCGATCATCCCTTTGTTGGGCCGTCCCACAGGGGATCTGGAAGATGTCCCCTTTCCATGTGCTAACAGAACGTTGGTAGTGAGGGTGAAACACCGTGCAGGGTCTGGGGAAGCCACCTTCTTACTGGCCCCTCAGGCCCAAATTCTTTTTCCCAACAAGCACCGCCCCCCCAGAGGTGTGTGCTCAGAGCAAAGTCCAGAGCCTAGTCACTCAGCCATGCCACTGCGGGCCAGCTTGGGGCTCTTCACCTCGTGCGTGCAAGGGGTTGTCCTCTGCTCCACGCCCCAGCTGGGATGCAGGACCATCCACCCTCTCTTCGATCCTCCTTCCTCTACCAAACAAACTTCTCCCTGTAGAAGGAAGGAGGTTAGGGGCAGCGACAGCTATCTAATTTGCAAGACCGCGTGCAAATAAAAAATGTAAAGTCCCTGGCTCAAAAATGATTAAGAATTTCAAGACAGCCACAGTAGAGCATTAAATCAAACATGTGCCCTTCTGCGGGTGGAGTCCCGTGCAGCTGGAGGCCACACACCCACAGAACTGGCCCCGGGCAAAGGATTCTTGCAATAGTGCACAGAAGCTGATAGCCCAGGGTCCTGATTACATCAGGGCTGCCTCTTCCTGGTACAAGGTGCTCTAAAGGAGTTGTTCAGGCCTGCTGCTGTAAACACTCCGCTGTCACCCTTCTCTCCGCTCACTGCCTCTCCTGTCCGCTTTCTTTTCAAGTGGACTCTGGGCAGCCCTGAAAATCATGTAGACCAGTGATCCTCAAACTTGACCTTCCATCAGACTCTTCTGGAGGGCTTGTGAAAGCACAGATGGCTCAGCCTCACCCCTAGAGTTTCCAGGTCTTCTTGATATGTCCATGCACGAGGCGCAGGACCTGAGAACCTGCATTCCTAACAAGAGCCGAGGCAATGCTGCTGATCCAGGAATCATACTTAGGAACCACTAACATAACAGCAGTGTTTGGGCCAGGGGAATCCAGGCAGTGAGGTGGCTTGCCGCATCACGTGAGGGCAGGCAGAGACCTGCTCTGCGGCTGGCTGCCCCTCACTGGAAGACAGTACATGCCTGCACCTTCCCACTGCTGATTTTCTACTTTCCTCCTCAGTGTGGTGAATCAGGAGGAAAAGTCATTTGCCATCGGGGTCCAGTTCTTGCTCATGCGCTTGCTGGGTAAGTGTCTCAGAGCCCCTCTTGCCGGGAGTGGCCCAGGCTGCAGGCATGTGGGGTGCAGGGTAGGGTTGGGGGAAGCCCCATCTCATCTCCACTATGCATAATCAACAGCAGATGCCAAACCCTGCATGGACCGTTTCCCTGATTGCTTGAGGTTAGGAAAGATTCCATCTATGGCATCAATTCCAAACTAAATTATGTAAGAAAAGTGGAAAGTAGACACAGCCGAGAATACCTAATACACAGTTTAAAAGCAGGTATTTTTACATCTTTCTTAAGAATTCGCCGTAGGGACAAACCTTGCATTCCTGCTCAGACAGGACAGCGGCGGAGCCCAATCCTGCCCTCCTTCCCTCCTTCCCATTTCACAAAATTCATTCCTCCAACTGCTGTGCAGCAAATGTTTCTTCTGCATGGCATTATCTGCCTGAGAACCCTGTCTGTCCTCAAGCAGTCCAGAGCCCAGGGGGGCATTGAGCTACACACCTGTAGCCAGCAGTGGCCCCTGGAAGGGAGAGTTGCCCAAGGGAGTGGAGCGGGAAGCCCTGGCTCTCCTTGGGAGCATGGGCTGGGAGTTGGGGACAAACTTCAGGCCCTTTCCCTGACTGCTCACACAGAGCTGTCCCTTACTGACACATCCTTGCTCTAGATTTGACACAAGGCTCCATTATGGAGACCTTTGCAATGGCAGAAGTAAAGGGAATGAACCCACCAGAGGGTGTGTTTGTTGAGGACTGAGTGTGTAAGAACTGCAGTAGGGAATATGGAGACTCCAACAAGAGGGACTTTGGTCGCTATCAACACACACTTTCCAAACTGAAATCTCTCGGCACTGTTACCCAGCGGGCCAGATCCACAGCTCACCCTACAGCGGCTTCCATCCTTCCAGAGTGAGTGGGATCTGAGGCTGGCTGAGTGAGAGCCTTTGCAGGGCCCAATCGGATCCCAGGGACTGATTAGAAATGAACATTTCAGTGGGAGCCCTTGGCTTTAGGCCACTTGCTTTTCTTCTCTGAGTTGACTTCCTTTGAGCCTCTTCAGACCCTGCCCCTCCGGCCCATATTATAAACACAAAGGATGAAAGCAGAACTTTCTGCCCGTCCTTCTGCCAGAGGCTCTGGTGTCATTAACAGCTCCACTGGTGTTTTCATTTATAACTTCTTCTGTAACTCAGCTAGAATCTGCTCTGAAGTCTCCGCTGGGAGGAAGATCTTGCATTTCCCCCAGTCCAGCCACCAGCTATAAAGAACCCTGCTTCTTTCAGTGACCCTGAAAATTACCACTTTCTCCCCCCACTACTCAATGCTCCAGATACTTTTGTTTTCCCACTGAGCCCAGAGAGCTCACTGCATGATCACAGCTAGGAAATGCAGGCTTTGGAGAGCATCCATTCCTCACTGGAGAACAGAGGTCGATGAGAGGACTTCCTCTTCATAAACTCCAGCACATTTACAATTACCCACTGAGATCTGGCTGAATTTTTGCCTGGGTTTTAATTCTGCTGAGAAGCGGAGGTCTGTCCTCTTGGCCAGCTCCTATCCCTTGTTCACCTGGAGACAGAAGTAAGCAGGGTCTGAGTAGAGAGGCCGCTTCTGGAAGCTGCCAGCCCGGTGGTAGGGCTGTGTGTATCCTTCTTGCCTCCAGAAGCAGCAACTCACAGAGCCCTAAACAGCCTGGGAAGCTGCTCTCAGCACTGTGGCTTGAGCATGAGAAGACCCGTGTTCAGTATGAATCCCGGACCAGCCCCACCTCAGCCCAGTGACTGCCTAGAACACACTAGTGACTGCTAGTGACACAGAGTAGAGGCTCCCAGAATGTCACACCCAGTAAGGCACAGAGCCTGCTAGACCAGGTCAGACCATTCAGTGGCTGGGACATTCAGGGGGCCTAGGGCAGAGGCTCTGCTGGCCAGGGTTCAGGTGTCTCAGAGGGTATTTTTTAACCCAGCAGGTCAGTGTGAGGTGTGAATGAACAAGTGATTTGAAATTCCAAAAGTGCAGGCCTGAGCCAGTGGCCAAGCTCAGCGTCCCATGGTTGGGGTGAGGAACCCACACCTCAGGGCCCTGTAAGGACAGGAAGCGATGCCTCTGCTGGGGCCAGCCTGAGCGTGAGAACTGCTGTGTGTCTGAGCTGGCGTCAAGGTGACCCTGTGACTCATCCTGCCCTGAAAAGATGGCCCAGGTCCCTTTTATCTCCTAAGCCTTCTGGGAAAAGAGAAATTTAGGCTTCACTGGCAGCTATTCTGCTTTCTCAAGCCAGCGTGATTGTGAGGGCAGGGCAGAGCCGTCCTCCTGTGTGGGAACAGGGCACGGTACTGTGGGGGCCTCTGCCTGCAGTGCCCTATGACCTGGCTCTCAGAACTCTCTTCCCTGCTGCCCAGCCTGGCTGCCTTCTCCGGCCCTCTACGGCCTCGCCATCGACTACTCCTGCATCTGGTGGAGCTCGAAGTGCTCGGGGAGGCGAGGGGCCTGTGTCTACTATGACAATGATGCTCTCCGGGACAGGTAAGGGCCCCAGCCCCCGAGCCCAAGCAGATCACGGTCATATGCCCACTGGCCATGGGGGCAGGGGGTCCTGACAGGAGAGGACCTGAGGGGCCATCTCCACAGGGCCTGCCGTGGACAGAAGCAGGGGCTACCATGACAGGCATTTCAGGGCCCACCCCGGGGAGTCACCCAGGCACTGAGATGGTCTCCTCATGTGCTGGCCCCACAAGGGAAAGGAGTGGCTGCTGCAGTCTGAGGGACATGAGCTGTGGATATGGAAAAACACCCATCCAGCCTCCAATTACTCAAACAGAAGGGCCCCACCATGGCTCCTGCAGGAGTGAGCCATGGCCCAAGGCAGCCCGCTGAGCTCTGCCCGCTACAGTCCTGCAGCCTGACCTGCCACCATCATCATACAAACCAGAAGCTGTGGGGAAGCTGGGTCTGAGAGGGTTGGTGGGGCTAGAAACACCGTAGGACAGGCAGAGCAGGCCAGGGGCTGGACCAAGCAATCGGGCAGCAAAAAGATGCTTCTTCCTCCCTCTGCTGGGGTAGCTGTCACCTCTGACACTCTGGCTGTGTCAGTGGAAGGCTGAGGAGCCCTGGAGTTCCATGTTAGCTTCCTGCCCACTTCTTGGGAGGTGTACAATCTTCTGAGTCAAAAGAGAGAGGAAAGTGATCCCCACCTGGGTAGCGACATTCCTACCTCAGTGGTGACAGACACATTCCCTGGGCCACTGGTGGAATGATGTCCTCTTGCTGGCGGCTGGATCCTGGGCAGTAGGCTGCAGAGACCCTGTCCCTCACTACCCCTGTCTCCTCTGCCCCACAGGTACCTGGGCCTGCAGATGGGCTACAAGGCACTGGGCGTGGTGCTGCTTTTCTTTATCAGCTGGAAGGTGAAGAGGAACCGAGAGTACAATGTGCAGGAGAAGGCTTTGGACCTCATCTGACCCTCTCCTGGCCATCACCCTGCTCCGCGTGAACCCTGCCTCCTCCACACCCGCCTGTACCCATCAATGTTAATGCGTCTGTTCCTTTTTGTTTTTAAAATAAGAAAGAAAACCCCAGTCACCATCTGCCTTTCCTGATCCTCTTCCCACAGTCTCCTCCCCGTGGTTCCTGAAGGCTGATGTCTGTCTGAGTTGAGGGGGTTCACAGGTGGAGGGCCCCGTCTTCCCCGGCTCCCTGGACGGGGTCCCCATATGCCCAAGCTGTCCTTACTACTGGGGCTCCAAACAAGGATGCCCATGGAGGCAGCCCTGATGCTGACCAACCCTGGAGTTGGGCGCTAAATGGAGTAAGAGGGAAAGGATGCCCACTCCTTGTCAGGCAGCCAGGCGCTCCTGTCTGCCCACACCCTGCAGAGAACAGAGTCAGAGGAAGAAGGGAAGGCTGAGTCATTCGTAGCTAGAGCTGGGCTCCGGGAGGAGGAACCAGCCGTAGCACTTGTTGCATCTGGATTCGCACAGCATGGAATTCAGGAGGGGGTGGCTCCCTTTGCCCTCAGATACTCCTTCCTGACCCCCAGAAGCCTCGGAAAGCTGCAGAGTCAGAAGCACAGCCCTACGTCTGTTACCCAGGCTCTGGCACCACAGCGAGAACTGAAAAATCCTGAGGTGGAACATCCAAGTGCTAACCCGTGAACCCAAGACCTTTCTCTCCTTAAACCCGCATGTGCTGATCTTCCTCTTCCTGGGGCTACATGTCACCCTGAGAAAGCCACATTCAGTGAAGACCTGGGAGGACCTGTGAAATGCGATGCCAAATCTCTCACCTCACGGTGAGACCCTCTTCATCTCAGAGCCCTGGGAAGGTGCCCCCCTCCATTTCCCTGTGACCAGAGCAGGTGGCTGCACGTGGACTCCCCCGTACGCTCCAGCCTGTGCACAGAGGACTGAAGAGGGGTTGCCTGAGATGCCAGGAAACACAAAAGGAAGCAGAGAGATGTCAGCTGTGACCACCTGGATGGCAGGCTGCAGCGCACTACAAAGAGGCCAGCAAGGCTGACTCTCTGAGCTCTGAACACACCCTACTCATCAACACTTTCTCGGCCTCTTCTCGCTGCCTCCAGAGAGGTGGACACCCTCTGTGAACCGGGGCTAGGAGACACTGCTGCTATGTGGTAAAGGTTCAGAGATAGAAGCCAACAAAAGACACCTTTCCTCAGCCATTCTTCTGCTTATTGCAGACCACCTTTGTGCTCAGCCATGCCCATATGTGGTTATCCAGAGAGCTCCCCTCACATCTTACCTCACCTCCCTCCGCTGACACGAGGGCTTCCCAGACTGTGCTTGGTGAGCAGTGTGGACAGTGAGGGGCAGAGGACGACACATGCTTTTCAAGCACAAGTATCCAAAGACTGGCAGAAAGGATCCTGACTGACCATGAGTGGCCCCACCAGGCTGACTCCTTTATGCATCAGAATCCTGGCTCACTGTGTCCACTGGAGCGGCTGGGCCTGGTCACTGCAATGTGTGATTCTTGAGTGCCACTCCCCCTGGGAGACCCCCCTCCTCAAGAACACTGTCGAAGCCACCTTATAAGGTAACAGGCCCAAAAGTTACGTCAGCGGCCAAACTGCTGTGCGTCTGGAAGTCTGTGGAAACCGCTCTCTGGACAGCCTTCTGCTCAAAGCCTGTTTCCAGGCAGCTCCGTGGGGAAGGAGCTCCAGCCACCTCAGGGGCCACTCTCAGCATCTGCAATGGGCCTGTTTGGAAAACAATTCTCTGCCACTAACCCTGGTCCTTCTTACTGCAGTTTAACCAAATCCTGAAGGCACTGACTTCCACTGAGCTCATGAACAACGAATGCCAGCCTCCAGGCTCTGGAAGCTTGGTTGCCCTCCCAAACCTTTATTCTATTATATTGCTATTAATATATTATAATTTTGCTACTGATATAACTTGGTCATGAATTTATGCTGTCACATATATCTACCAGAGAACAGACAGAACCTTTTAGACAGAGAAAGTACCTATGCCACAGCCCTCACAAGCCTTAAATCACCACAAAGGGCTTTAAGGTATGTGACTCTCAACCTGTCAACCTGGTGCTAAGCAGACACCAGGAACTCACTTCTTCAGTAAAATTCTTCAGATAACTGTCAGACTCATGGTGCTGGGCTCTCAGGCAGCCTCATCGTGGCCCTGAGTGTATATCCAGAAGTAGGGTTGGGCATGAACTGTGTCCATGACACAAGCTGAATTAATATCATAATCACAATCGATGTCTTTCTGCTCCCCAGCAAAGCTTTTCTCTAACACCAGCAGGGACTGTATAATGGTGTCACTCATTGCTCTTCTAGAAGAAAGAACTTCCTTGAGTATAAGATGCTCATAAAGGATGCTGCTACAATGTGGATTTTGTACACTAAGGCTGAGAGTCCATTTCTATAATTGGGAAGGGGACCCAGAAACGGTCCCCACTTTATACTGGCCCTCACACGAGGCTATGGGTGGTCCTCAAACCCCATGTGAGGAGTTAACAGTGCCCCAGAGCTTTGGGCAAGCCCACGTTGGTTCAGGCAACTGAGGAGAAGCGTACCCACTGACCGGCCTCTGGTAAATTCCACTGTAGGTGCAGGGTGGCAGGGTGAAAGGACGCCGGCCTGAGAGTGTGATTTCCCAGGTGGCTGCAGCCAGGAGGGCGAAGGCATGAAAAACAAGCCATGAGTTCAGGGTCCCCGTAGGTTCTTGTCAGCACTGAGAAGGATGCTCCTTCTACAAGTGTGGCTGCGCACGAAATGCCACGGTTGTCTGTCTCTGTGAGTTGAAACTGGTTTCAAGTCCCCACCCCACTGAGTGGCTGGAAGTTCAACATCCTCTGTGTTTAGGACTGCTCCCCAGAGCTATCCCAAGGTCCTTGGGTGCCTACGCTTTACAGAAGGTCACTGGGGCCTATGATCCCTCCCAGTCTGAGGCCCCCTAGTGACCCTGCTTCTCTACTGAGCCTGGAGGTTAAATTCATCTCCCCTGGCACTCCCATAGCTCTACTCTCTCCGCACTCGCTGCCCCCATGCGGTCCTGGGAAGGCCACCCCTCTGCAGCACCCCATCTCCCTGCACAATCCAGCCCCACAAGAGATGGACAAAAGGGCCAGGAAAGGAAAGGTCTCCAGGAATTCCACTCTGTCCTTTGACCCTTCTTGGAATAAGAGGGAAAATACACTGAAAACCAAACATCATATTGCTATCAATTATCCCTTGGCCCAAAGCCCTTTAGACAGATCCTCACTACATCCCCATGATGGTGGCCAGATTAGCCTCAGGTCTTAAGGAAAATGAAGAATCTGAAACCAAGAAAGTGATTATTGCGGCCAACTTCACACAAATAACAGCTTGCCAGGCCTGCCCTCAGAACAGTCTGCCCCCCCACTCTGCCTGATTCAACCCCATATTCCCTACCAAGTCATTGTGAAGTGCCTTATGTGTGGGGACCCCTTCCCCTCCCACTGAAGTTCACTGACCTGCGAGAGGGGGTGAAGAATCTCCTGAGGGCAATGTAGGATGGGTAACAGATGGGAAAAATAGGCAGTACTGCAGTCACCCACCTTCTACTCAAGCAGCACAGCACACCACAGCTATTCATGAGAGGCCCCTTCAGCCCCTTAGCGCCGTGACTTAAAGGAGAATGATGGAGAAAATGGACAAAGAGGAAACAGTTTGAGAAGAACAGGCCCTAAGAACTCTATGCACAGAACGACCCGTGAGGTCACACCCCCATCTGGTGACTGGCTAGCAGATTCTTGCTCAGGAAACAAAGCCATGGTGCGAGTCTCTGCAACTCTTCTCAAGGGTGAAAAGATACAGTTAAGCTGAGACCGGAATTCAGTGAGCATCAAAATGATATTAAAATATTAGATGACAGTTTCCCAGAGAGATTGACAGGGACTCTGTGTGTGTGGTTTTTTTTTTGTTTGTTTGTTTTTTGTGTGTGTGTGTGTGTGTGTGAGAGAGAGAAAGAGAGAAAGAGAGAGAGAGAGAATCCAGAAAAAAAGAATACCTAGGACAAATGTCCATCCGCTGCCAGTAGTGCTACATTCATTGTATCCTTTCTTCAGAGATTATGTAAACAAGTCCTGGGCAAGCCCTTGGCAAATCACGAATGAGAGAAAGCCTTCGTGCCAAGCACACCCTGCCCATTCGCCCCTCCTCCCCCCCAATCCCTGTCCTGCCACTGTACAGGAGTGCCCAGCTTCTCGGAGGCCCTGCCTCCCCAGGCACCTGCTGCATCTTGACAGCAGTAATAATGAAATGTGCACAGGTCTTCACAGTTTACTAGGCTCCCGGTTTATTTAAAAAGCAGCTTTAATCAGCAAGTCATCAGGATAAGCTTGGCTATGCTTCTGTAACAACCCTCAGCAACCTCAGATCTCAGTCATTCTCATTCTCTCTCCCTCCTCTCTCTTCGGCTGAAACCCAGGGACTTGGCACACACTAGGCAAGTGCTCCGCCACGGAGCTACACCCCCCAAGGGTACCCTTCAGTCTCACAAGGTCCACAGCGGGACTGGGTGACTCTCCAGAGCTGTGGCTCGCCAGGGTGGCCCATCACACCATCTGCTTGGACCCCAAGTGCCTCCATCTCAGCAGGTCACCATGACTGAGGAGCCAGGAGTAGGAAGTCAGGAAGATTTCTCCCTGTAGGTGCATGCTTTGGCCCCCAAGGAGCACAATGCACTCTGCTCCCAGCCCGGCAGCAAGAACTAGTCACACGGCCCTGTCTAAATGCATTGGAGTTGGGAAGGATAATTCCGTGTTTTCGGAGCAGAGAAAAAAGCAGCTGTGGATAAGAACTGGAACTGCCTACTATGGGGAGGAACTGCATGGGCACAGCTGATCAGCCAGCTTGGTCAGGCTGTTAGGGCAGGGGAACGGGGAAGTCTCCCACTGGAGAATCATCTACGGTGGGTTCCAAAAGCCAAGATGATACCCAAGCAAGTCAAGGCCATCTGCAGAGGATAGGGAGGCGGTCAGGAGGTTGGCCCTCAGGAGGCAGGGGTGGACCAGTGGCTGAAAGACCAGCAGGGTCAAGAGAAGACTCTGCAGGGGCACAGGTTTGCTGGAGCAAAGGACGAGAAGCCAAGGCCCAAGGGAGGATGGCGGACTGAGCAAGCTACCTGACAGGGAGCAGGTGGTGAGCCGGTCCTTAGTGGAGGACTCACCAGGGCTTCCCCGCCCCTGTGAGGCCCATGTGACTGTCCCACCTGAGTGGGAAAGATGAGGTCTCCTCCAGTTGTCACCCACACTGTCCCTTTCTTCATTTAGCTCCCTTTGTGTGCAAGGGTTGTCCTTGATCTTCCCGGGCATGTACTTCAACTTAACACAGGGCAAAGTACAGGTGCTGTGAGCTCATTCCCTTCAGAGGCCGGAGAAGGAGTTGGGCCGGGTTTCAAGACGGTCAGAGGTAAAGAGAACAGGCAAAGGTAACAGGCAAAGGTGTGGACAAAGGTAGGAGGCTGGACTACCTCGCATTCTGAGAGGTCAGGGTCCAGGACATGGGAAGAACGGCAGTGGTGAGGCCAGGAGCAGGCTCAGGTCCAGGCATAAGGCAGAGTCCCGAGCCCAGGCCGTGGTAAGAGCGAGGCACACAGCAGAAGGCAGCAGCAAGCGCAGGTGTCTGTACACACACACACACACACACACACACACACACACACACATCTCTCGTGCCCCGCCCACCTCTGGAACAGCTGGACTGCGGACTCCACTGCACTATTCCTCACCACCTCCACAACCGCATCTGGGGAAAGAAGGGGCCCCTGGTGCCAAAATGGTTGGGGACTGCTGGCCTAGAGGACCCGTGGGCCTTTCAGGGCCAGCTCACACAGGGGTGAGTCTAAGTTGGCGCTCATGCCCACCTCTGCCCGCTCTGTGAGGGAACAGCCTCCAGCCCAGCCAGCATTCCGGCTTAGAACACCCTTGTGGGGTCTACACAGTCCTCTCCAGGAGGCTCCGCAGGAAGGGCTCCTGCGGGCCTGCGCCACCCACCCAGGGACGGGACTCAGAAGCACTCCTCTAAAGTGCACCCCCCGGGGACCTCCCCCGCCTGCTGCTCCAACCCTCCCTCAGGGAGTGAGCAAAGGAGCTGGGTGCTGGAATCCCAGGCGAGGAGCTGAGTCAGGAAGGCTCCGATGCAGGGCAGCGTGGGGCAGCTAACTTACAGGGTTTCCATCCACGTCCCCATGGTTACCAACCCCTCTTCTCTCTGCTCCGCGGGTCGACTCGGGCACCCTTTAATCCATACTCTAAGTCCGTAACAGTGTCTTCGGAGGTCCCAGTTAGGCCAAATATTTTTTGAAAGCCC